TCGGTGCTAAGACTGGCAACATCGAGAATATTATCAACCACGTCAAAACACGCCAGCACATGATGGCGTGCAAGCAAGAGACACAGCGGCTCACCCAGCAGGGTGGCCTTGTCGCGCGGCCCATGCCACCACCTGGAGTGCGAGACGTCAGCTGTGCCTGGCCACCTGACATGCGCATGCATCTATATGGCATGTCGGACGAGGCGGCAGAGGATGAGTATCAGCGCCTCTACAGCCAGTTTCAGCACAGGCGCACACGTCGGCGAGAGCAGCAGCCCAATGCCGTAGACAGTGGGCGCCGCATCTTACCGCGCACTTCACCCACTCCTGCACCTGGAGCGCGCACCGTTGGTCCCAACATGGATCCGGAGGCACAGCGCATCGTCAGCCCCGACGTGGCGACATGGATATCAGCGATAGCGAGTCTGGTGAGGGAGTCCATATGGTTCGAAGCGGAGGGGGTGGGAATGTGCGCCTGTTTCTCTCCAGTGAGAGTCCGGAGTGGTTCACCCCACTGAGTATCATAAAGCTGGTGCGCGAGGTGTTCACTCCTGGCAGGATCGACCTGGACCCATGCTTGTCCGCGGCTGCTAACACACGTGTTGGGGCGACAGTGTATTACGATATGGAATCCGATGGTCTGTTGGAGTGCAACGCGTGGATGGGCAATGTGTTTGTCAACCCGCCTTTTGGGGTGCAGGGTGGTGCAAGCTATCAGAGCCTGTTTTTCCAGAGATGCGCAACAGAGTACACGGCTGGTCACATTCACCAAGCAGTACTGCTGCTGAAAGCCGCTGTGGGTTATGCGTGGTTTGATGCCATACTACAATGGCCTGTCTGTTTTCTGCGCCAACGTTTGGCGGGTAGCCAATCCACACGGAAGTGTCGTGGTTTACATGGGCCCAGACGTGCAACGTTTTGTGTCAGTGTTTGGTTGTATGGGCGGAGTACCGGGGGCGACTTCATGGGCCATGCCCCGCCCAACGGAGAGCTCGATGGATTAAGGCATAGATTGCATATGGCGAACATATTCTTCTCGGCAGACATCTGCATTTTCATTTGTTTTCAATGTAGCTCGTGGTACTGAGTTTAGCGGTTTATCAGAGATTTGTCATTGTTTCCACCCGAACCTATTCATGCATACGAGTGTTGTGGGATAAACTGGACGGACTGTCGATAAAGTGTGGTGGGAAAACAGTGGGACCTCGGCAGCTGACTTGACTGGGTAATGCAGTCGTGGCCCTGAGTGCTTGCCTCCGGTAGTAGTAGTAGTGCCAGAGTACGGTAACCAGGTGTGCAAGTTTTTCCACTCCATGTCGTGGGATCGAATCTAATACACACATGAGGCACTTGTAAGCGGTCCTCTTGCAAAGTTTTTCTGTAAATTCCTTAAAAGTCATGTGCTTTTGGATGCCAGCCCCGGCCAATCCTGCCAACTTGACAGCCAATTCGACACCCTGTCAGGCTAATTCGATACCCTGTCAGGCCAATTTGACACCCCGAACAGGTCAATTCGATACCCTGTCAGGCTAATTCAATACCCTGTTAGGCCAATTCGGCACCCGGACAGGCCAATTCGACACCCGGACAGGCCAATTCAGGCGCAGCACAGCCCAATTCCGAGGCTCCACAGCGCAATTCGAATACCTCCGGCGGGTCCGCCAGAACAATTCCAGACCTCGGCAGACCAATTCTTTCGTCAGGAATAAAATCCAGGCTAATTCTGCGACAGAGCTCTTCCCTAATTCCAGCCCGAATCCTACCCTCCTGCGCGAACGTCGTTGGCGCTGCGATGCGCTGCGAACCTTGTGGGGCTGTCTGTACAGGTCTGTAAGCCCCGCTCCCGCCTTAAGTGTCTGTCTCTATAAAATCGGAGCGTGCCATCTATGCAGCCGTCCAAATCGCTGTTCCCGTTTCCATCACGCCTGCTCGACTTGGGAGCCCTTTCTTGAGCTAGCGAGCCGCCACTGTATCACACTTTTGCGCGGACGCCGGCACGCGACCTAGCACGCGACCTAGGTCCAAAACTGCGCGTTCTGCGCCCTGCCAAAGCCTTCGATATTAAACTATACCCTACTAGCATACTGGATTACTCAATATTGGTTATTCCTACTTTCAGCCGCTTCTGGACCCCTGGCATGGCAACCGACTTCAGGGCAGGTGTCGCATCGTTGCCCCACCCGCCAGCACCACTTTCCTTTTTCTTGCCACTCTTTCTGGGTTCAAGGCATATTTCCCCTTGGCAGTTTCAGAGGCACGTTAATATGCCATTCCTATTTTGCGAACGATAGTGGAGTGCGGGGGCCGGTTTCGAAATGGCATCACGCAATTTAAACAACCAGCATGCATGGCGCTGGAGGCCTGTGATGCCTCGATTAAACAGTCACAGGCAGACCATTAAGAGAGCTCGGTCTCCGAGGTAACCTACTCGCCCCGCATAGCTAATGCACCGCTAATGCTGCAGCTCCCCCCCCCTGTCTCTTCCACTACAGACACTAAGCGTTTGTGAGAAGTCCCGCCATCTATTAGCTCGGGTACCAAATCAGATTTGGCAGCGGGAGCGGTCAAACTTTGCATCACATTACGATTAAACGACTGCAGCCATATGACCTGCATTTTCGGCTTGCGGGCAGGAGAAACTGAATCGTCCCTAGATTGCGGGTTGGCGGGCTTCCTAACCACCTCCCAACCGTCATCCAATTCCAGCTCGCACGAATATAGATGGGCCCGAGGCAAGCCGGCTTCTTCCACGCGGTAATATTACCATTATTTGAATCCTGGTGGTAAGCCTGGCACTTGCTAGGGTATTGGGGTTTATTTTTTTATTGGCTATGACGTTCTTCTGACTAATATCCGGACTTCAGTTGCGTCATAGCTGCCTGTGGCACTGGGACAGTTGCTGTGAAGGTCTCCTTTGGAATCGCCGTGATAGGGGTTATGCCCTTCTGGTAAAGTGTTGGTATTATGCGGTATCAGCACCAATCGGCGATCTGTTCGGACCCAGTGTAATCGATTCATTCATCCACTTAGGGCTCCTTTGTAAACTCACTGTCAGCTCAGCTCATTAAACGCCTGTTGCTAGATAGCTTACGCATGCTGCTTGGTGGTATACCGTTGTTCAGAGCGCAGTGCCCACTAGTCTCCTCCGTTCTTCCGACTTTCGGTCGGTAGGGCCTGCCGGTTCCCTCTGCTTCGCCATGGGCTATAAGAATCGGCGAGCTATGCACGCATAAAGTTCTACTTGAGATGCCTTGTTGCGTCCTAGTTAGGGACAAAAGCAACGCGCGACTTTAGCTCCAGCTTGGGATTACACCCAATCATCATTGAGGCTCCGCCTGGCTCAGTGCAAGGCTCCGGATGCAAACACTTATGCAATATTTCCTTGTTGCCTATCTGAGTCTAACCTAATGAGGGTTTCTTATGGCAGATGATCACGTGCACAAGAAACGGGACGAGAAGAAACCGGTATCGATGCTTGAAAGAGTGACAATAGTACTTTCATAGGGCAGCACACAACGTTGCGTAAGTTTATAATCCTGGCGATAGATACAATTATAGATACACTATGCATGGTCTGCAATAAAGTTCATAAAGAGCGATAGTAATTTGAATTTCCTTCGCTGCCGCTAACCGAACAACGGAACTCACATCTTCACTAGGAGCCACCGTAACGCAACGTTATCGAAAGCCAATATAAATTCGGAGGTATATGGTTGATGGGATCTATGCATTTGTAAGCATTCTTGAATTTCCGCTACCGGCGCAATTCAACATTGAGCAGCTGGCACTGTGCTTTAGCGAAGGCTAGTGTTGCCATACCATCAGTTTCCTAGTAATTGAATATTCTGGCGGAGACATGCTGGGCTATGGCTCTAGAGGCAGCCCGGGGAGGCTCTGCGCTGACTACTCGGGCCGCGGTCAACATGGGCGTGGCATCACAAGTCGCGCCCTTGTCAGCGGAATCGAGTATAGGTAAGCAGACTAGAATGTTGGCGTCACTGGTTGAGGTCCACGCGCAAGCTGGATGGATGTCATCCAGCGTCGACAAGTGCGAAAGGCGCGAATGATAATTCAGAACACACCATTTGTTTCTTTGCTTCTCCTTCCTTTTACCACAGCGGTTCATCTATTTTCAACATATTTTAACGTTACACGGAAGCAATTCTATAAAAAGAGGTTTGAAACCTGCTGAACTGTTTTATAAACAAACCCGCCGCAACCATTTCCTGCAGTTACTTCTTCCTAAATCCGCTTGCCGAGGGCTCGCACGAAGAAGGTCAGCCCATTCATTACGCTGGAGCAGCTTTCTTCGGCCCAGAGACCTCGCTACACAACCCCCTGGCAGAGTACGACAGCGGGGATGACTTGGACGATTCACCATCAGACTCGCCCCTAGCAGGCATGCTGTCTTTCCTGGCCTATCCTCACGCCTTCGCAGTCGGCCTCGGCAACGATCTGCCAAACACCCCCTGCTATGCTCCCACAAGCGCTGGCGCCAGTGTCACGAATTGCATCAAAACGCCAGCTTCGTCGCTTCCGCATGACTCTACGACACGCCTAACGACCGCTCCCATTCCGCCGCCGACGGCTCCATCGTCACATGCTGTGGGCCCCATGAAGTGGCAGCTAGGTGTCACAGCTACGTCCCAAGTCAGCATCGAACCCGGCGCCGGGCCACTGTCAGCAGTGTCTGCATCATCGCTGCCCAAAGCTTTACGCACCGCTGGAGCCCTGGCCTCACCGACGCAAAGGGAGCCCCATGCCCCTCAGACACCGCCCCTGATCCTCCGCGATGCCCCAATTGCATGGATGCCGTGGCGGCAGCCTGAAGAGCTCGTGCAACGGCCCGAACTAGCGATCCAGCATCAGCTCCTGGCCCCCGCGGCACCTACTGCGACCCCCTCCAGACCCGCAGAGAGCCCGTTGCCGCCCCTACCACCACCGTTGCAGCTGCCCCAGCACCAGGATCAGCAACAAGGGCAATCCCAGCAGCAGCAGGTGGGAGATCTGCTGCAGCTGCAGAAGCAGCAGCAGGTGAGTACTGGTCCTGACCTGCCGCAAACACCGCAGCTACTGCCGGAGACACAGCGACCGCTTCCAGCGCTCCTAACACCGCCGACACCCATGGCCGCGGAGGCATCTTATTCGCCGACGGCGCCGATATCGTCTTCGCCTAAGCGTGGTACGAGCAACTCTTCTTGTCATGCGGTCAATACCGCCGCCATCCCTCTCACGGCTGCCGCCACCGGTCATCTTAATGTGGCCTGGGGTCCTGCTGCAACAACTACTATCAGCTCCGCCATCAGCGCCGATGACTGCAGCAACAATGACAGTATCAGTGGTTGCAGCAGCAGCAGCAGCTCCATCCCTCCAGTCTGTCAGCTCTTTGACGCCACAGTAGCAGTGCTTAGCGGTGCTGCCGAATCCGTTCAAACCAGTGACTCACCAGGTGCTGCGTATTCCCACACACACGCTGGCATCAGGACGGATTCTACCCCGGTCATCAGCAGCATCAGCATCCGCAGCGGGGACTCCGTCGTTGAAAACAGCAGCAACTGGGTGATTGTGGACGGTCCGCCGTGTTCCATATCGAGCCTGGCCATGACACGGGCCATCATTCGTCAGCTAGGTCTGCTGCCACCCGGCTTCCTTGACACTGTATAAACTTCTCCCTTGCAGTTAGTGTCTGTACGTGCACGTGTGCCTCTATATGTACCGTATTTGTATTTACACAGGGGCGATTCTGCTCCCCGGTTTGCTGGAACGACTTCCCTTGCCCCTGTTATGTGGTTGTGAGTGTTCCTCGCGCTGCTGGCATATTCTTTGTACGGTCGTATTTGGTCGCGCGGCAGCCCGGGGCGGACAGGACTCGGCCACGGTGTAGTGGTTCGGGTTTGCCTCGATGCGGGGCAGTCCGGCTGATGGCCAATGCGATGTGTGAAAGTAATGCAGCGGGAGCGGACGCAAGCACTCATGCAACATGCACTTGCATCTGCAGAAGCAGAGTACAAGGGGACGCAAACTGTGTCCGTACCTTAGCCACCGGCTCTGCTAGGAAGGCTAGGAGTTGGCTCCACTGAGAACGCATTACCTTTATGTGGCTGTCCACTGCATTGAAGTAGAGATGACGCGGGCTTCGCATATAGGCCACCAAAGTTGTGGTTAAAGTACATTCATGGTACTGTGTACGGACCCGTAATGGTCCCATACCATTGCATACCATCGCACTTGACGCCAGGCGTGCTACCTGGCAGACGGGGTCCACCGTGCCTGTGTCTGCTGCGCGTCGGCACTCAGGCCGGGGACGTGGCGGGGCCCCTGTGGGCGCTCGCTGCGGAGCAGGTTTAGCACGTGCGTGTATCTGCTGGCTACATCAATATATGTCAATATATGCCGCAACGCGGCGACTGGGGCCAGAAAGGAGACGTTGGGGACTAGGGATACCGGGTTGCTTATGTGCGTGTGTGAGCCTTTGGCACTTCCAAGTCAGTTACCAGCTTGTGCATTGTGCGGGTGCGCGGCTTAAATTATTAGTCAGTTTATTGGCTTGCATTTGCAGCATGCGCTGCATGTATAGCGAGTGCATATAGGACGCTTGGGGGCCCGGCCATGCGGGATTGCAAAGGGAGTCACGGTGGCCGCATCGATAGGTAATCTGCAAAGATAGGATGGGCGCGAATACTGGGAGCTGCAACATATTAGCCCAGCGGGTACAGTGTGTCTCAGAAGTCTAATCCCTTGCTCTTTTGGCCGGAGGGAAGGGCTCCAAGCGGTTGCGAGTGAATGCCTTTACATTACTACTTACCATCCAAGACACAGAACTGCTCCCGCAGATCGGATCGTGCTTCATGAGGTCTGAGGCAACCAGCGGTGGTGCTATACCGATGAGGGGTGCATGCGTGGGCAGTTCCAGGCGCTTGGCTACTTGCTGCGTGGTGTTCAATGATGCCGCCGCCAGGCGAAAACGCATTCCTTGCATTGCAGCTGGGATGGGGTTCTCCATGCATGTGGGTCGGCACGGAGCCGGCCGGAGGCGACGCCTGCCTGGCATGCTACCTGTTTATTACAAGTGGGCAGAGGGGGCGTGTCATGGTATACCCGTGATTCATGAAGCTGCAAGGGCCGCAGCCTATCCATGCACAGTCGCATGCATTCAAAATCCGTACAGTCGCAATTCTCTTTGTACAGCATCCTAAGCAGCTACATTTCGGCGGGTCGGTTTGGGGTGGTGTGGACACCATTTTGTACATTCAGGGTCGCCCTGGTGTGGTGTCGGTGCGGCGACACTTTCGCTGTCCTTGTGGCAAAGGCTAAGGGCCGATCTGGTGCTGGGTTTGAGATCTGACAGCTGGAGGAGGGAGGGGGTCTGAGATGATGGAATGACCCTCTGTAAGGCACTTGGGTTTAGCTTTCTAGCGTTGAACGTCCAGGTAAGGCCTGCAAACAGCGTAGAGACTGCATGCCATCCCATCTAACATCGGGTCCCCAGCCAAATGACCGTGTTATTAGGAGGTAACATTGCCTACGTGTGTTGCTATAGTAGGACAGCATTATTATCCGACTATCAAAGTTGCGCCTGAACACATGCACGCCGATGTACAACTCGCTGTTCTGATGGTTAAAATTGTTATTTGGCAACCTCGAAATTACAGGACCCTATCTGACACAGCTGCCCCCTTAAGCCTGGGGGAATTGCGATGACATGGAACCATGGATACCTGAGACCATGATATGATCCTTTATTGACCTTGACTGGAGAGATCGGGGCTGCCGCGTACGGCCAATACTATTTATAGTCCTTCAATTCACGGCGGCGCATGTTACGACATCGATAGTTTAAGTTGTTTTCAATGCGTGTTGATTGTATGGTTTACGGACCAGACCACAGAATGACTCTTCAGCATTGTCACAAACAGACACGGTGATTCAGGTTGGTGACAGTTCAGGTAATCGTTCGTGGCGAATGCTGTACGGTGTTGACGACGTGCGAATGCGTGCGTGTGGGAAGGTGCTCTGTCATGCTGTACACGTCAGATGGTGAGATATTCTACTAATTTTTGACGCAAAGACAGAGTGCGCCGGATCCTGTAGTGCGCTTTCTCTTGAGAATGGAAATCGGTGTTGTTGGCACGTAAGACGGCTGTTCTAAGGTATCCACGCGCTCGCTAAGCACTGGGGCCCGGGGGTGGCTGGGTCTCCCATATGGGTCTCCCATATAAGCCGTCACCCCCTGCCAAACCGCAATTACGTATTATACATGCTATGAGGGGCAATGAGACCTGGCTTACGAACCAAAGGGGGTGACGGCCCAAAGTATCAAATCTCTAATGCTGCCTCGCTCCCATGCACCCTGGGAGTGGTACATACATACCTTAGGCACGTCAAATGCAGCTTCCATGCAGCCTTCCGTGCGTACGTAGGGTTGGAATAAATGAAGTTGTTTTTTCTTTGGGAAGAGCTGTCATAAGAGAGGATTACTGGACGTGGTGTACAGATGGTTGCTTCTGCATATGAATACGTGTAACAGCCGTCTCTTACCTTAGCTGTTTTAGCGGAAGTAGAGGGTCTCGTCCACGATTGGCGACCCAGCGTTAGGCGTGAGAAGAGACAAGGGAAGTCGGGATTCGAAGACATACGTCGAGAACGGTGACAGCAAGGTCTTGAACCCTGAACACTAGTATAGTGATACGTTAAGTGTCTGGCCGAAGCACTTCACCTGGGTGGCTTAAATGCGGCCCACCTGCCGCCATCTCCATTCCTGGAGTCTTGGTGCCGTACGCTAGGTTGTGATAGCGTACCAGAAAGTGAGTTCGTACAGTTAACGAGTATGGTTCGTAAATACGGGACCGTACCGTTACTGTGATTAAGCTTTAATAGCTTAAAGATATTCTAAGGTAAATGTAGCTTGCTACATCCCTCCCCCTCAGAAGCGAACCGTCCCGGGAGCGTCACCTTTTCTTGCGAGCAGGTGCTTTCCGTTTCGGTTGTTCTGGGGTGCTGTTCCGGGGTGCTACCGAAGGAGGGGTGGTCAGGACCACTTTCCTTTTTGGTGTAGGTTGCCCGGACTTTGCCGCCAACCGTCGTTCATAGTCGTCAATAGCTTCGGCCAAGGGAACGGATTGACGCAGGGAATCTTCCGGTTCATAGGTGTTATGACTGGAGTCATAGCCTTCCCATTTAACCAGATATTCTCGACGTGTTTTGCCGGTTCCACCTCGGATTTTCACATCACGATGGTCAAGTAGTGCCTCAACCATGTAATATGGCTCTTCGTCAATTATGAACGGGGGCGGCGGTTGTCGTGTTCCATCGTCCTTGAATGGTTTGAGCAAGGATACGTGGAAGACCGGATGGAGTCGGGAAGTCACGGGTAATCCCAATTTTACCGCGTTCTCTCCCACTCGGGCGACAACCTTATATGGCCCAATAAACTTAGGCAATAATTTCTTTGCTCCAGGAGATTTCAACTGGATGTTGCGGGTGCTGAGCAGCACGGAGTTCCCAACCTCAAAACGCACCGCACGCCGATGCTTGTCGACGACAATGCACTGGCGGGATTGAGCAGCTTTAAGACACTGTTTTGCGTTTTCAATACGTTTGCGCATGACCTTGGGATAGCGGTCAGCGGCAGGCACTTTGGTTTTTAGGTGCAAGTCAACCGGCACACGTGGCTGCTTGATACCATTAAGGCTAAACGGGGTGGCACCCGTTGAGCTCTGCCTCGAGTTATTAATAGCAAACTCGATGAGTGGCAGGTGTTCGTCCCAATCATCCTGAGTGGGCGAAATATAGTGCCTCAGTGTCTCTTCTAGCAAGCGATTCATTCGCTCGGTTTGACCATCAGTCTGCGGATGGTAGGCTGTGCTCATATAGAGGTGGGTGCCTAGCAGGCGAAATGTTTCCTTCCAAAAGTTGCTTGTGAAGCGTGTGTCCCGGTCAGACACAATATTCTGTGGAAGGCCGTGCTGTTTGAAAACCGTAGCCACAAAGAGGCGGGCTAGATCTTCCGCACCGACGGATGTGGTTGTGGGAGCGAAGTGCGTCATCTTGCTCAGGCGGTCCACGAACACTACTATCGCGTCATGCCCATTGCGGGTTGTGGGTAGCTGTGTGACCAAATCCATTGACACACTATCCCAAACGTTATCTGGAATGGGAAGGGGCTGCAGCAGTCCGCCTGGCTTTTGATTTGAAGCCTTATTGCGCTGACAAGAAGGGCAGGTA